CCAAACTACATGCCCGCCTCTTTCTTTCAGCAGCACCGAGAATTGCTGGTGGCAAAGAGCTCGGCGGCATCACCCGGCTGGAGGGGAGGGCGTGGGGTGCGGGAGACCAGCCTCCGGGAAGCTCGCCTCTCCGGACGGCCCTGTAAGCCCCACACCCCCCCTCCGGCTCGCTCCTTCCCATCTGCCAGAACTTCTCCCATGTGCCGTCATGAGGCGAGCGCTCCGCTCCGGACTGGGCGCTGCTGCGGCGCTTGTCCTGACAGCCTGCGCCTCTCTCTGCACAGGTAATAGGGAGCGCCAGGAGTCTGCTTGGGCCGGCGGGTCGGAGGTTATGCTCGGCGGTGCTTGCTTCCCCCTAACCCTTCCCCTTGGGTCTTGGGAACGGCGAACGGGGCAGCGGAGTGTTCTCTCGGATTGCAATCGTCTTTTTGGCCCGGTTGAAAATTATTTGCTGTCCGTCTCAAAGCCTTACAAAGTTTATCCAAATAGCGCTTTCTGGGTCCACTCGGGCCGACGGGTTTCCTGAGCTTTTTTAGCCCCGTTTGTGCCCGAGGTAAACAAAACCTCAACGTGGGCTTAAAACGTGCTTTCCAAGTTCGAGGGACTCCGTTTGCTTATAAATAACCTGGTAAGTTAAGCTTCACGCAGTCATGCAGCGATCCCGCTTTGGGACAGTTAGATAAATAACACACACAGAGAAAGAAAGTTAAAGTGCCCCTTTTTTAAAAAAAATGATGTAGGAGACAACCGAAGAGCCGCGCTCATTTTAATCCTGGCGAATTTGTTATAATAAAATCTCAGTTGAACGGTGTGGCTGCGAGGGCAAAGGACAGCTAAACGCCTCCCGTGTCTTTAAAGGGCAAGTCCTTCGTTTCAAAACGCGTCTCCCTTGGCAGAAAGGACATTTATTTACCCGATCCAAGTCTCTCTTTTTTTGGCTCTCTGACATGATTTGCAGGTATGTCAAAACAATACCCGTATAGAGACGCTGCACCTTCTTAGAGATACGGATCATCTGGTTACCTCCCGACTATTCCAAGGCTTAATCTTAAATTTAAAAAAAATATGTTTACATGTTATAGACTACCGACTTAAATGACAGCTGTGGGTCCTCTTAATTTTATTCCAATTTGGGCACAGGAGAGAGAATGAGGAGAGGTGTTTTATTGGAAAGGGATTAGGATTTACAAAAAGCCACACATGGAGTGGCACTCCGTAACTCGCTCACCTGTGAGAGCAAACCCAAAATAAATCTCTCGACCTGTTTCTGAGCACAAATATGCGAGCTGTAAACCCCCTATTCAATGTTGGGTTATTTAATCCAAGAGTGCAGTCCTAGAATGTCTACTCAGAAACAAAATGATTTTTGGGAGGACTCCCAAATTGCAGCCAAACTGGGGCTTGTTTCGGATAATTTTAAAATAGACTTGATTCCAGTTAAATGCCCCTTTCAACTTGACTTTCTGTTCAGTCAGCTATCTCACTAGAATGATTAGAATTCTGATTTCATCATTCTACCCATATTTTTATTGGGGTCCAGTTTTATTATTGCTTTCAAAATACTTGGGGGGGGGGAATTAAAGCTAACAAAGTTGAGACATCCATTTCACTGACAAGAAAGTTAGTGCTGCGCACCAAGTGAGTAGATAGTGTAAAAAGGTAGAAGTGTTTCTTTTTGGTTAGGGCTTGATTTCAAACACTTTAGAGATGTATCATACCATTTTCGAGATCACCTGGGGCAGCGGGATGCTACATATCTAGCTTCTGAGCAAAGAAACACAATGGCATAATTGGTAGTCATTATATGTAAGAAAGCATGCAGTGGGGATGTTGGCAGAAAATGCCTAAAAAGAGGTTTCTGGGTTTTTTTTTCCATCTTGGGAAGAAATAGATTTGGAATGGAATGATAAGTAGTATGTGTATTGATGTGGGGACATGGAATGTTAGATGTAATGAAATGACCAGCATTTTGGGGGGATTTTTTTTAGGATTGGAGGAGATGGTGGTGATTTTGAAACTAGGCTATGCACTTCATAATGTTCTGGAGAAGAATTCTATAGTGTAAAGAGAAGATGCTGGAATAGGTTGAAGTTTGGGGGAAGGGAAGGGAAGACTGAGATTATTTGAGTTTGAGATATAATCCCTGTGGAAACAATCTGAATCCTTTGGAATACTGTATGCGTCAGTAGGAATCCTGCGTTGGGATCAGCCAACACATTTTCCCCAGAAAACGCAAATTAAGTCTTTAAAAAGTCTGTGATAGGAAAGGAAAGAGTTAAACTTCTGTTCCTGACAGTTCTAGGATTGCTCAGGTTGTCCCTTGGCTACTGTTTACTTAACCAAAAAACAGTTCCTAATTGCTTTGCTGCAATTCTAATCACATTTGGCCTTTAAGCTATTTTGCCAACCTAAGCAAATTATTTTGACCCTTGTTTCGCATCTTGTTCCGAGGGCTAACTATGCCCTCATCAAATGTTTTTTCTTTACAGATTGATAGCAGAAAGAATATTCAGTCCTAATTCATGGAATAAATGTAATCAAGTATTATTTTCAGAAAGTCTGCAAAAAGAATGGGTTGGTTGGTGGATGCATCCACTTCTTTTTCTAATGTCATGTTCTCCAGTAAGTTTGGGATTATTCTTAGCTTTAGTTTTTGTTAGATTTCCTGGTTCTTCTGAACCATTATAAATTCTATAGCTCTAGCCATCAATTTTTAATGAGTTTTTGAATTGGATCAGCCCAGTGTGCATGGTGTATGTACATATATTTAATAATGGTAATAACATTATAAATCAAGGCTGCATATTTTCTCCAAAATATAATTGTACTTAAAAGCTTATGGCAAGGTAACATATATTATGTGCTGGAGGAAATTGATTCCTATAGTTTATACTAGGGGTGTCAAGCTTGATTTCATTGAGGGCCTCATCAGGGTTGTATTTTAACTCGAGGGGTCGGGGTGGGTGTGGCCAGAGTGGGCATAGCCAGCTTGACGTCACACATGTCAGAGGTGCCTGTGGTGCCCTGAGGGCTCTGCCAGTGAAAATGGGCTCCCGAGCTCAGTTTTCGGCCGTGAAGGCCTCCTGCAGCCCTCTGCAAAACTGCAGAGAGCTGCAGGAGGCTGTTGTGACTGAAAATGGAGCCTGGGAGGGCTGTGCGTGGCCTCCCGAGCTCCTTTTTGTCTGGCAGAGGCACTGAGGACCAGTTATTCACTGTTTCTAGGGCGGCCCTGCGGCCCAGATCTA